TAATAGAATACTGTGTTAAAAACCTTGCCAATTATTTCAGATAACTAGATAAGTAAAGTAATAGTCATTTGTAATGAATCTTTTGTATTTGAATCTACTGTGATTAAAATATGTTTAATTAAAATGCCAGGTAAAATAAACTTGTTTTCAATAAAAGTTGGCTTCAAATGAAGCTGCAGCTTTGAGGCACAATTTCACTTGTGATGTTATACATTTTCATAGTGGACAGTATATAACAAGATGATGAATTTAATTAGATTAGACATAGGTTAGTAATAGGGGAATGGGGAAGGGGCTAAAGGGAAAAACTGGGCAATTTCACATATTGTCACCCATTTTTAACCAAGCTCCTTTTGCTATGGTGAAAGGTGTGAGGTGGGTTTATGGCACCTTAAAACCAGATTGTTCATTTTAGGTGGTTTTCATTGTCACCCATTTCTAAGTTATAACCAAACTCCTTTTGCTCTTGAAAAGGTGTGAAGGCAAGCAATCTAGTTTTAAGGTGCCAGAAACATGTGCTTGTGTTCAGCTTTTTCAAGTCCTTGTTGGATCATGGTTTACTATTTTTGGTAAATGTGTTTCCTAGGCATGCTGATGAACCAAGGTATTACACTGTAGGGCAAAATATATATGCTGAACATTGGCAGGTACGAAAACTATGTCATTTGCGCATTTGTAGTTTGATAAAATAAAATATCTATACTCCCACGAAAGTTGGACTATCATCGTGACATTGAATGACGTCATGGCAAATGACGTCATCACGTTTTGCGTCATCGATGACGTCATAGATTTTTGACTAACGTGCGAAAAATCCTAGATCCGCCCCTGGTATTTTGATACATTTTATACTCAGAAGGGTACCACAACATCCAGACCAAGGGCCCTTGAATCTTGATTAAATAGTAAAATATTTGTTTCATGTTCTGAGATGAAAATATATACACCCTGTAACAACAGAAAAGTTCAACTAGTATAACTATTGTACCATGAGTAAATCTAGATTTTGTAATATCACAACACAGCGTGTGTTTTGTTGTGTGAATGCCCTATCACGCAAATCATCTAATGATCGTTATCAAACGGCCAGCAAACTCTTATCAATAATGTAGAAGCAAACTATAAAAGGTATAAAACGTTCCAAATAGGACAACTTGAGCAGAAATGTTACTAATGTTTAATGATGTCAATGAAAACAGTCGTTGGGATTGATAACCGTTTTAAAAGTACGGTTGATTAATTAGACTAGTACTGTTCTACAGAACGTTTCAAACACAGTAAGTGTTTCAAAGCAAATAGAATTCTTTAACTGAAGGAGTAAAGGGGAATACTGACATTGGGAACAGTTTGAATTTCAATGATCCAAACGTACTGCCAAAGTACACGATTGTATAATCTTGACGTTGGCAATTGTCAGCTAGCAATTGAAATTAATTCCGCTTTTTGTGTACAAACTGATGTATGATAAATATTGCCGCGGGCACCGTATACACAAAACACGGACGATTTATTTCGCCAAAAATAGCCTATTCGTTTTGACACTCACTAAAAGTTAAACCATTAAAGATGTATACATCACATACTGGCTGATACAAACGACGAAACTGCTTATTTGGTCAGGTAATATAAAATATATAGTAGCTGAATTTTAGACGTCTAACATGAGGAAGGCAAGGCAACACTCAAGTTGCATTTTCATTATAATCTATAGGAACAGAACGTACGAAAATACAAACTGTACATGCAGGAAAGGGTGAAAATTGGACACACTGTATACAGTCGAAGCCCGCTAACTTCGAACTCTCAAGGGAAACGAGGAATTAATTGTTCGAGTTAACGGGGGTTCGAGCTCATAGTTTATAGATGCACATTTCGAAATAAATGACATACTTTCTTTAGATAAATTGATTATTAAAGGCGAATACTGCTATAACGGTTTTATTTTAATGACGTAACACAGGAGAATATTATTTTTAAAGTCAAAAGGATACGATTTTGTTGCCCTCTGGGGTTGACACTGTCATAGCAATTAGAGTTAATCCCTTCTTTGTTTACAAACTGTTGTATGTAAAAATGTGCTAGGAACAGTACAACACTAATTATGAAAGTATGGATGAATCATGAATGACTGCAAAAAACCATCCTTGTTTGCCTTCGCCTATACTATATATAGTCTTGTATGATAATACAAACCCCAATAAAATATTGACTAAGGGAAACATATATGAAACTTTAGAACTAACACGAACCATGCAAAACAAATTAAAATAGCAATTGGAATCCTTCCAGCACAGATTAAAATAACATTGTTATTAAACCTTCTAAAACAAATTTGAAATATCTTATATCAACACGAAACCTTCTAGAACAAATTAAATCAAATAACAACTCAAAACCTTCTAGAACAAATGTGATACGTTTCCAACCTGTTTCCGGTCAACGTGCGCGCGCATTGGTCCCACACGGCCTACCTGGAAACTAATCGACACGGGTAAGAGCTCCGTGAAAAATACTGACTCGACAAAGCTATACCTGCAGGATAACTACTGTGCTGAATCAGCAACTTATATTTTGCACATTTTTGCACATAACTTCGGAACTAGATGAGATAGAATAGAGCATTAAACGGCCAATCGGCTTATTTTTTTTCATGCTCTTTCAGATGAAGCAATAAAATCTTTTGTTGCCAATACCCTTTAACGATAAGGTTTGTTGTCCACACAAACGCTGCACGAATAAAACTGCCTTCTTTTTAAGCAGGTTTAGAACAACATTCATTTTACAAGATTCCGCAGGCCTTCTCGAAATCGTGACCTTCCCATGACACAACGAGGGCATGCGGAGGAGGCAGGTCACATACTACCTAAATTCACGTCAAAATCTTCAGCACAATGAACGCTTTGCGTTGTGGCAACTTTGTAGTCGTGCCGCCATGCGTGGCGTTTGCAAATCATGTCACCCCGGTGGTATGACCACTGCATTTTATACGACGTAGAGAGTGATAAAAAATTTCGTGCTCACGTGGTACAAATCTAGCTTTCTAATTGGACAATTTGAGGTATGTTTGTTCTTTAATCACTGCGAGCTAAATACTGGAAGGTTCATCGTTTTGTCTTATCGATATTGACCTGGCACAGTGATCATTGTGGTGTTGACGAATGCGATCCCGAAGTCAATCGAGTTTATAGTGAATAGTTTTATACTTCACATAACATATTTATTAAGGGGACAATACCATATATAAACAAGCTTACCATATATAGAAGGGCAGGTGGGAAGGACACGAGTTGGACTGTGAGCGAAGGCAAGAAAGCAAAGCTTGAAATATCTAGATATTTCTGATTAATAAAACATAAGAACGTTACAGAGCCGTTACAGGTGGCACCCACATAGAAATCATAAACACGAAGATCTGTGCAGGATTCGTGTCTGGTATTTTAACCGTCTCCTCAACGCATCCAAGACCAAAATTATGGTTTTTGGTAGTCGCAGAATGATAGTGACGTGTTTGCAGCAAATTGCATGTTTAATTAAAGGAAACAACTTACGAAATACTTATATGAATTTGAACGAAAACAGCCACGAAAGGTTTGGGATAAAGATCTGGTCATTATTTCGACGAATTGAACCCACAGGTGCGGATGTCTTTTTCATCTTTTAAATAAATAAAACAATTATTGAATTCCGCTTTCGCCAGATATGAAGAATTATTAAGCCCTCAGTTTGTGTTATCAACCAACGAATATCTTCGTCTCATAAACGTTTCGGGACCGACTTGACAAACGTTGGGGAGGCCCCAACGTGTGCCCCCTGAAGTTAGTTCGTTTGCTTGGTTGTTACAGACGAATTATCTCGTCTTTTATTAGGGTAGTCCAGACGGATCATCCGTCTCTAGTATAGGCTGCGTAGCAGGCGTTTATTTGCTTGCGGGCGGCGAGAGAAATGTACGCCTGCCGCCCATTGCGAAAAAATTTTTGCCGAGAAAACTTCGGAAAATTCACCATTGGTCAATTTTCTCGCGGAAAGTCTGCCGGAAGTAATTAAACTACGCCTGCTTCACGCGCTTATTTGAGAAAATAAACGCCTGCTGTGCAGGCTAGCTAGTATTTCCAAACATTTCATTCTGCTTTCTTCAAAATGGCTGAAAATCAGGCCTTAAAATATCTTTTCCAGGGCCGTCTGACAAAATGTCCGGTGACGTTGAGTTTGGGTCGGACATATGTCCGATGACCTTCAGTTCATTTTTGACTCGGAAATAATGAATGACACAAATGAATAAACGGTAAATGTTGTAAAGATATTAAATAATTTGTTTCTTTCATACTTATTTCCAAGCCAAAATTAACTTGCTTGCCAGAACAGCAGTATCAGAAAGACTTCGACAACTTAAGCCCGTTTTCCACTTCACCATTTCGCTCGCCACCCCGCGCTCGACTGCGTTAAAACAACATTTCCAGTTGACCTTTTATACAATAGTACTCTGATTTTCCATTTAACATAAAAGTCTGCCTCTAGTCCTGGCCTCCTGGGCTAGGGTACATTTTGATTTACGTCGGACAAAGCTACAGTTCGGTCGGACACCAACACACTCGGGTCGGACAAACAATAAACCTCAGTTTCACTTAGGTCGGACAGAATGTCCGGTGGTTTCTTTTCTACGTCGGACAATTTCACGAATGGGTCGGACAATGTCCGTGACCGACCGATATTTTAAGGCCTGTGAAAATATGTTGGAAGAAGCTCTGTCTGATATTTCAAGTCGTTTAGGCTTCACAATTCAGTTAATTAATATCAGAACAGAGTGAGTCAATTGTCCATTTACTGCGTGGTGAAGACGTTCTCGTGATTCTTCCAACGGGATATGCGAAGAGTTAAATATTTCTACTGTTTATTATCGTTTATTATTAGCATGACAAAATTACTGGATGCTGATTGGTTGAGAGGAGTACAATTATTTAATTAATTATTTATCTTCTGTAATCAGTGGCAAATACTGCAATTTCATTGGTTTACAGGAGTGCGATTTGAGCATTAATCGCACCTTTTCTGAGCTGTAATCGCACTCTTGTCCACAGCCAATGAAAATCAGTCTAGTATTTACACTAGCCAATCAGCACTCAGGATACAAACTTTGAATTTTATTTTCTTTATTGCTGTAAAAAAATTCAAAATGGAGGAATTCACAAATTTTGCCCTTTTAATTTTTAAATCAGCCCTCGAAAACCGTCAAAATTGAGGCCGGAAAAAAAATGCCGACCTAAATCTGACCTATCTCGGCATTTTTTAAAATCTGTTTCCATGTCTTGGAGCACTAGTAATCACGTATTTACGAATCATTGAAAAGTATAAATGTCACGAAGCCTTTTCTTTTAGAGTTTTACCTAAATTATAACATAAATATACCCGTTAATTCTTAAACCTTACACCAAAGTGCATCGAATTAATAATCGCTGACTTTTTAACAACTATAAGAACCAAAAAGATTCTTACTTTGGCTGAATTAAGGTCCGCAAAACATTGCCGACATGGGAGGTTGATAGGTCAGCATTTTAATACTGAAGGTCGGCATTGCCGAATGCCGATCTCGTTTTCGAGGGTTGTTAAATTATATATTTTCTGACGAAAATGACCTACCTGTTCATCCAGCAGAAGACACCGAACTAGACACAATCCAATTCAGATGATTAATTGAACTAAAGAACTTCACTATTTTGAACACGTCATAAACATACAAACATGGCTTCCCAATTGTGTTTTGAATAATTCAAACAAATGTTGTCATGTGGTTATACCGGAAATAATGCCCGGAAGTTAATAATATGTTAATTTGATTATATATGATAAATAATAATTCAAAATTGTACTATTTCACTAAGAATTGTCGTGACAAAAATTTAAAAATTATATTGAATTTCAACAAATTGTATTTTTCTGCTTTTTCCCCCTTAAACAGTTTGATTACAGAAGATAAATAATTAATAAGTAATAGAACGAATTAAGTCGTACTATTAATGCCATAATCATACTCGTGATTAACAAATCAACCTCCCGCTACGCGGTCGGTTGATTTTGTAATCACTCGTATGATTATGGCATTAATAGCACTCCTATTCGTTCTATTACCATCATTAATTGTACTGCAGTACAATTAATGATATCATTCAGGACAATTTTCTAACTCAGTTGGTTACTGAATCCACGAGGGAACATAATATACTTGATCTTGTTCTATCAACTTCATCTGATAGCATAAAAAACCTATCAGTCGGTGAAAAGTTTTCAGATCATAATATGATTACATTTCTATTAACTGGACAACCATATGTCCAGCTTAAATCCAAAAATATGTTTATTGTTACAAAAAAGCTGATTGGTTACAACTGAAATTAACGTTGTCTCAAATTCCATGGAACTTAGCATTTCTTGAAGAGAGTATTGATGAGAATTGGAATTCATGGAAAGATCTGTTTTTTTGCAGCAGTAGATGAATGCATCCCGAAAACAAAAGGGAAAAAAAGACAAAATGCGCCGTGGGCTAATATCTCTATGTAGGAAGAAGCTACTTTATAAAAAAGCAAAACGAAGCCAAAATGAAAGTACCTGGGTTCGTTATCGTCAAATGAATAACAATTTGAAAAGGAAGTGCAATGAAGCTCGGTGGAGGTATATAACCGATTTAGCTCAAAATTTGACAGACAACAACAATCCGAAACCATTTTGAAACTTTGTGAAATTCAAGTGTAAAGGAACAAATAAATTGATATCCCTGAAAGTTGGAGAATCTGTTTTCACTGACGACCAAGGTATTGCAAATAGCATGAACTCGTATTTTTCTTCTGTTTTTACAGTTGAAAATTATGATAATATCCCAGTGCTTGACTATATTGTGGACGAGAGATTAGAGAACATCCGTTGTTCTGTTGACGAAGTGGGAAAACTTCTTCTAAATCTTAAGGTAGAGAAGTCCCCGGGACCTGACAATATCCCTGCACGTATTCCAGGTGATCTCGTGTTCGTATTTTAGCCAATCAGCGCTCAGAAAGGGTTGTCCGAATAGAAATCCATTTTGATGTATTCAGTCAATTATATCTTTCGTTATTCTTTATGAAACTAGTTGAAATTTTGTAATTATGTTTGGTTATGAGAACTGTAGCTCTGACAAAAATATGGAATCGAAATAAAGTATATTACAGGAGATATTCAGTTGTTTTAATCATAAAATGGATTTCTATTTGACAACTAGTGCCAGTACTTTTCCGCGTATCAAGATCATCTGGTTCTAAAGGTATGTGCAACAGAGCTGGCACCTTCAATCTCACTTTTGCTAAATAAGTCATTCTCGATGGGCATGCTACCTATAGAGTGGAAAACTGCCAACATTACACCGATTTTTAAAAAAGGTTCGAAGAATAGTAGAG